GGAAAACAAGCTTGGGCATGTTGATCCTACCACTGTAATGCTTCAGGTACTGGAGGTCCCAACAACCAAATCAGGCTACTGATGTAGAGGCCTTGGCCATCCAAACAAAACACGCAGAGCAGGCATTTCAAAAAGTCATTAAAAAAGCCGTTAAAAAACTACTTCACAGAAACAAAGAATGCAGTAAATGAATACAAATTATTTTAAAACATCATGTCATTTTCCCCTCCTCAAACATGAAATCTCCATAATGTTCTGACAACAAGGATAAATTTTAAAATGCACACATACAGATTTGAAATGCCTGGGTTTTCAAGGGGGGTTTTGGGCTGGGGTCGGGCCGTGCCCCGCTTGATATCTGGCCGAAATAGCGCGTACTGGTGCTTCGGCGTCACGGCAGCAGCGCGCGGTTTCTTCCCAACGGGGTTTTCAGTGGGAGTGTTTGTGGGCAGTGGGGGGTGGTACTTTAACAAAAGGGTCTCCGCTGTGTTAAGTCAGTTCGGGCAAGCGGGCGGTGAAACTTATTTTACGCCGCCTTTCAGGTCAGGGAACGGCAGGCAGCCTCTTAGCTCCTGAAAGAAAAACGTGGTGTGACACTCCCAAGCTGGACTTAAGAAATCAGAGTCTCAGAAACCACTTCTTTACACCCCCCCCGCACCCCTTACTCCCACGTACCTGTGTAAATTCCTACCCGACATGGATATTTTTAAAAATGACATGGAACTGCTGCCAGGCACTCGGTGAGGTACCCTGGGCGTTAGCAACTGATTGCCAAGGTCCGGTTCCTTCCCAGGGTGGGGACAAGCAAAGGGCACGTTTTTTCTGATGATGCTTCTCTCCTCTCATTGTGGATGTTTTTTTCCTTCTTTCAGAGCATACCAAGGAAACAGAGCTTGACTGGATGCAGTGCCTTGATCCACTTCGGAAATTCTGAGCTACTTGAGAGAATAAAAGTATAATGGAACAGACCTAAGGGTACCAAAAGTATTTTTTAACTAGCCTCTTGTTTCCAAAAGTAACTATGAGCAGGAACCAAAGAAACAAGTGAGAACTCTACAAGCATATATACTACTTTCCCTGCTACTCTCCTAGCTCCCAAACAGATGACATCCTCAGCTGAATGCTTTGGGGTTTTTCCCACCCCTGCCCTCCTCAGTTTTTTTACTTTCCTTCGGTAGATTGGTCTACCATTAATTTCCCCAGCCTCTCTGAACCCACATCACCTCCAGCCTTTGGCAAGGAGTACCACAGGTCCACTGCCATTTTCAGGAAGCATCCTCTTGGCCCGTGTTGAAGTTGAGGCCTGTGAGCTCCAATTGTGACCACCCTTGCTCTTGTATGAGGAGAGCGGACCATCATTTCCAGCACATGCTGTCTGTCCCACTCCCAACTGCCTTCCTCCATATGAGCCTCTGAGCAGGCTGTTCAGAGCAGAGCTTTTTCAGATATCCCACACTGCTACGTTACTTGCCTCCTAAAGCGCCTCCTTGGCCTCGGAGGAAGGTGATACTGAGCGATCACAGCCTTTCTTGACTGAACACCACAGACAATAGGTCTGCCTGTGGTGAACTGCCTCACAGAAGTCCATGTATTCTTTCCTCTTCTACCTGCCAAGGGCAGGTTTGACAGATTTTTCTCATATGTGATAATTCTAAATCATTGCTTTTACATAATAATAGATGTCTGTCTACCTCTTGCTTCATTTTAGAGTATCAGATATAAAGTTCTACCAGTGACAAATATTTTCTTGTTTCCTTAATACACACTTTCCACAATATTTTTCAATTAACAATCTTAACTTTTTGATCAAATAAGAAAACCTATTTTATGGGCTTGCAAATTTTAAACTATCTAAGATGAAAGTGAAGATACCATCCAATAACCTTTGTAAATGTTTGCTTTATGTGTTTCTCAGGAAGCTTCACAAGCCAATTATTTCAGTTTCTATAGTGAGCCGGTTTTGATGTCTTTGCCGTTCAACACACATCCTGTTAAGGGTTGTCATTAACTCTGTTGCCTTCTTTGTTCTTCACAGTACCAAGCACTTTGACAGAGTCCAAATCAATACTAAGTAACAATGGATGGTTTTTAGACTTAATTCCATGTTTAGCTATCACAGATGAAACTACCAACAGATCAGAAAAATGCAAGAGCTTTTTCTTTCCCTGGTGGTTTCAGAAGGCTTAGTGTCTGTGCTATCTGGACTGGCTTTTAGCATTTAGTCCAGAAACCTCTATGTCCTGCTATAAAACATTATTTTCTGAGGTTAGGAAAGGCCACAATTATTAAATGCCTGAAATAAACAGTTAACATCAGTCATGCTTGAGATTTTTTTTAATGCAGTAGAATAAATTCAGTGGAACTGTGGAAAGTATTCTACAAACACTGAAATACCAAAAGAGTAATTTCAAATGGAAAGCAATATTAATCCTGATGGATTAGAACCATAAATTGTATATTTTTAAAATACCAGTATTCTCAGAAACAATTGGTCTATGGCTTTAAGCACACTTCTACTTAGGCCACCTGTAACTATCTCTCTTCTCAATATCCTTATTCCTGGCCTGGGACATGTGGAATGAGACAATACTCATCTACCAGAGACAGAACAGCAGCAAAGGATTTCTACCTTCACCAGGAGACTGTCCTGGTTCAGATAGGATAGGGTTAGGTTTCCCCAGCAGAGAAAGGGGGGGAAGGGATCTCCAGCCGGGTTATTCATACCATGCTGGCGTCAGGTCCAGGGGAGGAACCTTTGTACCTTGCTCTTTGGTGGGCTTGGTGGCGGGAACCTGTTTCCGTGACCAGTTAGCAGTATTTCTCTGTTTATCATTTGTCTTGTTCATTGTTATTACTGTTTATTGTTGTTATCATTGCTACTGTTGTTATTCAGATTGTTTTATCACTCTGTTGTATTAAATTTCTTATTTCAGCCCAGGGTCTGTGCTTAACTTCCAGCCCAACTGGCTGAGGGTGGGGGAGGGGCAACGGCAACGTGCTCTCCGGTCCTGGCAGGGCTTAAACCTGCACAGAGACTCATCTTTGCTTTTACCTGGAGTAGAAGATACCTTTAGAGGTTACCAGCAGCTGGAGCCAGGGTGCACCTGATCAATGCCAGGCCTGGGCCTGCTGTACTCCTGTATTTTCTGCTGAGTAGCTAGTAGGAGATGCGGTCTGCAGAGTGGTGCATCTCTTAGCCAAAATTCCACTGAGGTGCGTCTGTCTGAGCTTCAGACCTTGTTTCAAGGGGGCATCCATGTATTTAATATTGTCAGGTCATCTCACGGTTTTCTTAGGAGCCCTTAGGGCTAAAACTTCATTTCTTTAAAATAAAAACTGAAACTCTGAGATAAAGAAGTGAGAATGGATTTATGTATTTTCTGTCCCTTTATCCACAAGTGCAAGGAGGCAATGTTTCCCCTTCGGGCTTGATGAAAAGGGAAAGCCTGGTGTGCTCTCCACCAACAGCTCTGCAACACCGCTGTGGTGGGCAGGGAGGATCTTAAGGGTTCTGGCTCACCTGACTCCTGACTTATTTTCCAGTCCCAGGACTACCTACAAGATTTGTCCCCAGAGATAAAATCAGTGGGCAAATCCCAGAATGTGTTTTGTATCGTAGGAAAATAAAAATTAAGCTACATTTTTTTTCCTATTTATTATTAGGAGACACATGCTTTGTAAGGTTTTATGGTTTTCCCCCTACAGCTATAAAGATGCTGCATTTTTCTTCTAAAAAACAAAACCATACTGTCTTAGAATTGTTGACAGAGGAGAAAGGCTGGATTATCAAGAGCATGTTTCGGGTATCTGAGGCCCTGTTTTGCCAATTATTAGGCCTAGCATAAAGGACACAACCAGCCTAAAGATGAACCAATAACCAAACTGTATTTGATACAAAAGGGCCAGTACATGGGTGAGTGCTGGGGGTACAAACAAGTCAATCAGATTATACATAATCAACATCAATCCCACTGACCCCAATGACACCGCACAACCAACAATGGGTGGAATAAATGGTGACATGCAGTCTCTCATAGAAGGGACAGGAGACAACCGAGTCATCAAGCCAAACACATGAGACCAAGGAAGCCACATACTGAATCTCTACACAGCCCACATTTACAAAAGCCAAACCTGACTGGAGCCCAGTTCCAGGGAGGCAGGAGGTCCTTCCCCAACAGGGAACTCTGCAAAGTGCATCCACCTCACAGACAGACACTGCCCCTTCCTGCAAGTGGTCCCAGCTTGTATCCCTACGTGGGACACCTGACCTTTGCTTACTTAATGTGGGACACCTGGGGCTCACTCACCCAATGGCTCTCCCTGCCAGGCTGGCCGCACCCTGGAGGGAAGCCCAAAGGCAAACTCACCCCCCCTTTGTGAAGGGCTGTGGGAATCACCCCTATGTCAACCTTAATTTGGGGCTTGGGGTTGAAATCCCAGCATTTCAGGCCCTTCTTGTCAAATTCTAGTTCAGGAACCTTGCAAGGAAGCTGAACCTGAGAAAATAAGGGGGGAAAAAAGGTTGTAAAGACAAACTACAAGCCAAAAGCAAAGATGAGCTAAATCTACTGCAGTGAACTGAATTTTTCTTAGCACTCTCTAGTAGTCTGTAATAACAGACACATTTTGACTTACCTTTTATTTTCCTTTTATTTTTACAAAACCTGAGTGCGTAACAGTTTGTCTAAGAATCCCGTTTAATCTTTAAAAGGAGAATAAAAGTTGTCTCAAGCTGATTACCTCAGAATATTCATGACGTAAAGAGTATGTTTTATGAAAGAGAAATCATCTTGAGATACCTATTCTAAAAGAGTGATTCTGGGGAAATGGAATAAAACTGGAAAAGAAATTTCATTGGTGGACATAAAGAACAAAATAAACTTTCCTGCTCTTATCAAAAGCTGGACCCTGAGTTTTTAAAATCATCTATTGTTTTTCAGA